AGTGCTTCTCACCTTTGCTTCCTGACACTGTCTATTAAACCATGGGTTATTATATTCCCTCCTGCTTTTTTCCTTTATTGTTGGAATAAATCTCTCTTCAGCCTCCTTGCATTTCAATATGACTTGGTTCATCATACCTTGCACTGTTTTTCCTCTAAGTTCATCCTCCCACTGCACTTCTCCCAGGTAGTCCCTTATCCTTCTGTAGTCCCCTTTTCTGTAATCAAGTCTCCTTTCCCGGACCTCTTGTCCTTTGGTCACAATTTTAAGCTCCATCATGTAGTCAAAGACTAGGACACAATGGTCACTAGCTCCTAGTGGTATTTCATGTTCCAACTGCTCGATGTCTTCTACATTCTGGGTGAAAATGAGATCTAATAGGCTGGGCGTATCCCCTCCTCTTTCCCTAGTATCTTCTTTCACATGCTGTGTTAGGAAATTCCTGTCAATAACGTCTACCAGCTTCGCTCGACAGGTCTCCACCCCACCATGGGGATTCCTCATTTCCCAATCTATCTCTCCGTGATTTAGGTCCCCCATGACCAGCAGCTTCGCTCTCATTCTATGCGCTATAGTTGCTGCCCTCTGCAGTTCTTCTATACATGTTTTGTTGCTGTCCTCATACTCCTGCCTGGGCTTTCTACTGTTTGGTGGGGGATTGTAGAGTATCAAGATTACAATCTTCTTCCCATCCGCTGACAGAGTTCCATGTATGAAGCTCGTGCTTTCATTGGTACCCAGATTTTCCAGCTCATCAAACTTCCATTTCCGCTTTATTAGGAGTGCCACTCCTCCTCCCTGTCTCTGTGTCCTTTCTTTTCTTATCACCTGGTACCCCTCTGGAAAGATTGCATCCGAGATCATGCAAGATCATGCCATTTATTTTAGTTTCCACTATTGCCACTATGTCTGGGTCTGCCTCACTAACTCTTTCTTTTATCTCTTCTGCTTTATTGGCTACCCCATCAGCATTGGTGTACCAAACCTTGAGACTCTTCTTGGAAACTCGGGTGTCAGAGTTCCCCCTTTCACCGGGGGTCTGGGGGGAACTGGGGGGTGTCTGGGGGGCAAGTGGGGGCTGTGGGGGTGAATGGGGGGGGTGCTAGTGGGGTGCCTGGGAGTGCCTGGTAGGCAAATGGGGTCTGGGCATCTAGTGGGGTAGGAAGGGCATAATGGGTCTGAAAGTTAGGGGTCTGAAGAGCATAGGGGGGGTTGAGAAATAGTGAGACTGAGAGTCAGATAGAGGTTGAGAGGTTGGGGGGGAAGAGGGATATTGAGGGCAGAGGGCTGAGATGAGTATGGAGCATGGGTGCTGGGAGTGGAAGAGAGGGTGTATTAGTTAGGGGGGAATCGGGGGTAGGTGGGGGTTTTGGGGTAGAAGAGGGGAAGAGGGAGATGGGGGAAGGTGTTAGGGGGTCACAAGGTGAGGGGGTTAAATGTGGGCTGGAGGTGCATAGGAGGGGTGAGGGTTGGGTGGGGTTTGGGGGTGAGTGGAAGAGGGGTGCAGTGGAAGCTTGGATGGAGTAGATGGAATTGAAGTCAATGGGGTAGAAGGGGCAGGGGAGTAGGAAGGGGTAGTATGGGAGGGGGGATGGGAAGGTGGGTTTGGGGAGGGCATGGCTTGACCCACTGGGGTCGTTGACAGGTGTGATGTAGCAGGGGCAGGGGAATCGTTGGGGAGGTGCAAATGTGAAAGGGACAGGGGGGTTTTGGGGGGCTGAGGCAGGGGGGAGGTATAGGAGGGCTGAGTTGGGGAGGATGAAACCTAGGTGACCTGGGATGTGACCTGGGAGGTGACCTGGGATGTGACCTGTGTGTGTGTGTGTGTGTGTGTACTCGCCTAGTTGTACTCACCTAGTTGTGTTTGCGGGGGTTGAGCTCTGGCTCTTTGGTCCCGCCTCTCAACCGTCAATCAACATGTGTACAGATTCCTGAGCCTATCGGGCTATATCATATCTACACTTGAAACTGTGTATGGAGTCAGCCTCCACCACATCACTTCCTAATGCATTCCATTTGTCAACCACTCTGACACTAAAAAAGTTCTTTCTAATATCTCTGTGGCTCATTTGGGTACTCAGTTTCCACCTGTGTCCCCTTGTGCGTGTTCCCCTTGTGTTAAATAGACTGTCTTTATCTACCCTATCAATTCCCTTCAGGATCTTGAATGTGGTGATCATGTCCCCCCTAACTCTTCTGTCTTCCAGCGAAGTGAGGTTTAATTCCCGTAGTCTCTCCTCGTAGCTCATATCTCTCAGCTCGGGTACTAGTCTGGTGGCAAACCTTTGAACCTTTTCCAGTTTAGTTTTTCCTTGACTAGATATGGACTCCATGCTGGGGCTGCATACTCCAGGATTGACCTGACATATGTGGTATACAAAGTTCTGAATGATTCTTTATACAAGTTTCTGAATGCCGTTCGTATGTTGGCCAGCCTGGCATATGCCGCTGATGTTATCCGCTTGATATGTGCTGCAGGATACAGGTCTGGCGTGATATCAACCCCCAAGTCTTTTTCCTTCTCTGACTCCTGAAGAATTTCCTCTCCCAGATGATACCTTGTATCTGGCCTCCTGCTCATTACAACTATCTTCATTACATTACATTTGGTTGGGTTAAACTCTAACAACCATTTGTTCGACCATTCCTTCAGCTTGTCTAGGTCTTCTTGAAGCCTCAAACAGTCCTCTTATTTTTTAATCCTTCTCATAATTTTAGCATCGTCCGCAAACATTGAGAGAAATGAATCGATACCCTCTGGGAGATCATTTACATATATCAGAAACAAGATAGGACCGAGTACAGAGCCCTGTGGGACTCCACTGGTGACTTCACGCCAATCGGAGGTCTCACCCCTCACCGTAACTCTCTGCTGTGTGTGTGTGTGTGTGTGTGTGCATGTGTGTATGTGTGTATGTCGTGAGGAGCGAGATGGTACGAGGGATGTGTTGACTAGCTTCAATCCGCTGACACGGCTGTACTCAACAAGGAGGGCCTTGTGTACTACAGGACCAGCCTGGGTGCTATAAGGGTTAGTTTTGCTTCTCAGTCCTTATTTGGGCATGAGGAAGAATACGTACACAGCTTCCCCACGTTGGGGGTGGCTGGTAGAATCAGTGAGCGACCGCCTTGCACAGAGAAGGTGACCAGCCAGTCTTCCCACCCTGGTGGATGCCAGTCACCATCATGGTGTATCCGTCTGAGTTGTGAGGTAAGAGTGTCAGCGATGCATTGTTTTGATTGGGTGTCTTACTGGTGACGAGCTAGTGGAGTCTGAACCATTTAGCCATGTATAGTGTGGGCATGTAAGGAATGGGTGATCCCCCCCCCCTTTCAATTTGGTCAATTTGTGTTAAGTAATAGGATGTCAAAATGTTAAATATCAATTGCTGGAAATTGAAATAATTTGATTCAATAAATATCTATGTGTAGAATAACAAGCTTGACTTTTGTTCAGTCCTCTTTTTGAATCAATGTCCCCCTCAAGTAAGAGTTAAGGCTAGAGAAATAACAAGATGAACATGGCTAGAGATAACTAGATGGAAAACTCGGAGTAGAGATAAAGGGAGGAAACGAAAGTGAGGCGCAGGAGACCAGTGAGTGAGTGAGGGCCGGCAGTGAGGCGCGCGCCATCTAAGCCTCCCCTCACTCAGGTTGTGGGGTCCTCGGATATTCTTAAGCAGTGTCCTGTCCATTGCTTAAGTGGAATTAAAATTTTAGTTGCAATGACTTGTGGTGGCAGCTTATATATTAGAACATGTAAAGTAAAAATTAACAACATCAGAACATCTTAGAATAATAACATCATAGATTAACATCATAGATAGAATAACAGTAAGTCTACTCTCCCTACTCCTTCTTATCCCTCCTACTTACTCCTCCTACACCACAGTACTCCTCCTCCTTCCTTCTCTCCGTCCTGCCTCCCCTCTTCCCGTTCGCTCCCTGTTTTCTATTCCCGCTCGCCTCTCTCTCTCCCTCAGTTCCTGCCTCAACCTCCCCCATGTTCTATCCACCCATCGTTCATATCTTCTTCCTCCTCCCCTCCTTTCTTCCTTTCTTTGCTTTAATTTCTCACCAGCGCCGAGTAGATAGAAAAAACTAGGTGTTACACTACCACACATCACAACTACCACACACCACATTTACCACACACCACAAATGTAACCCACCACTACTACCACACACCACAACTACCACACACCACAATTACCACCCACCACAACTACCATCCACCACAACTTCCACACACCACAAATATAACCTACCACAACTTCCACACACCACAACTTCCACACACCACAACTACCACCAACCACAAATATAACCTACCACACACCACAACTACCACACACCACAAATATAACCTACCACACACCACAAATATAACCTACCACACACCACAAATATAACCTACCACACACCACAAATATAACCTACCACACACCACAAATATAACCTACCACACACCACAAATATAACCTACCACACACCACAAATATAACCTACCACAACTACCACACACCACAACTACAACCCACCAAAACTACCACTTCAACAATTATTACCCACCACAAATACCCACCCCCCACAACTACAGTTAGCACCTACCACACATACCACCCAGCACAACTACCACTCAAAAAAACAACTACCACTCACCATAACAACTACCCACCACAACTACCACCATCAGAATATCACCATTATCCGTCCTGACCTATATACTTTCTCCTTGGACTAGGCGGTACAAAGAGAGTCTTGTATCTTGGAGAGTCCAAGTTCAATCCCTGATGGCCATATTGCTAGGTACCGTTCCATCCCTCCGTCCACATACCGCAAGGACTAAATCCACATATCCCTTTCCAGTGGTGTATAATCATGCTGGTTAACCTTTCTTCTAACTATAATTTTAATAACCCCACTCCCCCCCCCCCCTCGCAACTACCATCTCAACACCCAGTCCTCACAAACATCAAACAAAATGTGTACCAACGTACTATACCGCTGGTGAGATCGCTGTGGAAGCTGTTAGACACGAGGACGTTTGGCTTCTGACTGGATGGCTGGTGGTGGTGCTCTCCCGCTGGTAAGGGGAGCGCTCACAGGTGTTCATGGTTGTAGGGTTTTTTGTATTTCTCCCAGATTTATCTGCTGTTGCCTAGCCAACATGCAGCCCACACCATCGCACACTTTCCACACCACACCACACCTCACCACTCCACACCACACTACCATCTTTGTGGTATAATGCACTGCTGCGTTTGTGTGTGGGGGGGAGTTGGTGGTGTGAATGTTGGGTTGATGTACTCACCTAGTTGTGCCTGCGAGGGGTTTCAGCATTGGTTCTTTGGTCCCGCTTCTCAATCGTCAATCTACTGGTGTACAGGTTCCTGAGCCTATTGGGCTCTATCATATCTACATTTAAAACTGTGTATGGAGTCAGCCTCCACCACATCACTACCTAATGCATTCCACCTGTTAACTACTCTGCTACCATTGAAATAACCCTGGACCTCCACCCTTGTTGTTATAACACTTTCTCCTTATTTCTCTCTGCTCTTTCATCCAATACCCCAGCTTAACACTGTTACAGTCCAGTATGACCCCCTCACTGGACTGCCACGAATATAAGTGGAATATTAAATGAGGAACATACATCAAGAACAAGGGGTTATTAATTTATAACTAATAATTAAAATCATTAAAACACTGCCACCACCTTCCCAAAACATAAATGAATGTGTCAAAATTATTGTTTCCCCAGGAAGAAAAGGACTCAATAATCATGGAACTCAAAGGGGCAAGTAAATGAATCTTAATGGATTAATACTGTAATCTTACTGAACTGAAGGGAGATTCAAGAACGACTTTAATATTCATAAGATGGAGGGTAACACCGGAACTTTCCAAGTCAACACATCAACTCACAAAAATGACAAAGTAAAAAAAAATATCAAAGGGGAATTAACTGAATACCACTGGACAAATTATACAATTTATTTTATGAATCGTTTAAATTAAATCAAATTGAACATATATCCTATTCTATTAGCCCTAGAGAGGCCAATTGGATATCTACTGAGGACATGAATACTCAAGTGCACAATACCTTAAAAACCGCACTGAGGCCAAGATGTTGATGACTTGCCTCCCACAGGTCAAGGGGACCTGTACCCCACTAAGCTCCAGAACACACTACTGAAATTTTGTTTCACCAACTTACCGTTGGCAAGGATTGCTCCTCCCACAATCTAGTATAGCCCCCAGGGCTCCACCCATTATTTGGCTATGTCCAACCATTTAAAACTAGGCCTGAGGTCTGGCTCTCCAGGGCCAATAAGGACTTGGCACTTATCTACCGCCAATCACCTTCCATGATCTGCCGTGGAAGGATACATGAAATTCTTGAAGATTGAGTCAGCTCTCACCAGCTATTTGAAGGGAACAAGGCACCACTGTAGTGGACCACTGGAGCCTAGTGCACCTCCGCGCAATGTTTACAAAACTGAGAAATTATGTTCAACCCCGTCTCCTCCAAGATAAAGTGTAGGGAGAACTTAGGGAGCCGGTCGGCTGCCCGGACAGCACGCTGGACTTGTGATCCTGTGGTCCTGGGTTCGATCCCAGGTGCCGGCGAGAAATAATGGGCAGAGTTTCTTTCACCATATGCCCCTGTTACCTAGCAGTAAAATAGGTACCTGGGTGTTAGTCAGCTGTCACGGGCTGCTTCCTGGGGGTGGAGGCCTGGTCGAGGACTGGGCCACTGGGGACACTAAAGTCCCGAAATCATCTCAAGATAGGGACATTTGACTCGCCTGGTATGGGGAAGGAACCGGTGAGAGGGGAACAGAATGAATTGAGAGGTGGATGGAGAAGTGGATGGAGAGGAAATGGAGTGGGGAAACCTAGGCACCAAGAGGACCCACTAGCAAGACCACCCTCAGGTCAGCCTCTTGGCCCTTGACAAATGGGTGAGAGGGGGGGGAAGAGGAGGAGACGAATGACAGGCAAGAGGAGGGGAGAACAGGAGAAGGAAGGAGGGGAGAATCATGATTTGAGCACCAGATCATTACATCCTCACTGCCCCACACTATAGTGACCTTACTGCCCACACTACAGTGACCTCTCACTGCCTATACTACAGTGACCTCACTGCCTCACACACTACAGTGGCCTTATTGCCCACACTACAGTGACCTCACTGCCTCACACACTACAGTGGCCTTATTGCCCACACTACAGTGACCTCACTGCCTATACTACAGTGACCTCACTGCCTATACTACAGTGACCTCCCTGCCTATACTACAGTGACCTCACTGCCTATACTACAGTGACCTCACTGCCCCACACTACAGTGACGTCACTGCCCCACACTATAGTGACCTCACTGCCCCACACTACAGTGACCTCACTGCCCACACTACAGTGATCTCACTGCCCCACACTACAGTGGCCTTATTGCCCACACTACAGTGACCCTCCACCCACACTACAGTGACCCTCCACCCACACTACAGCGGTTCTCCACCCACACTACAGTGACCCTCCACCCACACTACAGTGACCCTCCACCCACACTACAGTGACCCTCCACCCACACTACAGTGACCCTCCACCCACACTAGAGCGCCCCTTCACCCACACTTCAGCGACCCTCCACCTACAATACACTGACCCTCCACCCACACTACAGGGACCCTCCACCCACACTACAGCGACCCTCCACCCACACTACAGTGACCCTCCACCCACACTACAGCGACCCTCCACCCAAACTATAGCGACCCTCCACACACACTACAACGACCCTCCACCCACACTACAGTGACCCTCCACCCACACTACAGTAACTCTCCACCCACACTACAGTAACCCTCCACCCACACTACACTGACCCTCCACCCACACTACACTGACCCTCCACCCACACTACACTGACCCTCCACACACTACAGTGACCCTCCACCCACACTACACTGACCCTCCACCCACACTACACTGACCCTCCACCCACACTACACTGACCCTCCACCCACACTACACTGACCCTCCACCCACACTACAGCGACCCTCCACCCAAACTATAGCGACCCTCCACACACACTACAACGACCCTCCACCCACACTACATTGACCCTCCACCCACACTACAGTAACCCTCCACCCACACTACAGTGACCCTCCACCCACACTACAGCGACCCTCCACCCAAACTATAGCGACCCTCCACACACACTACAACGACCCTCCACCCACACTACAGTGACCCTCCACCCACACTACAGTAACCCTCCACCCACACTACAGTGACCCTCCACCCACACTACACTGACCCTCCACCCACACTACACTGACCCTCCACCCACACTACACTGACCCTCCACACACTACAGTGACCCTCCACCCACACTACACTGACCCTCCACACACACTACACTGACCCTCCACCCACACTACACTGACCCTCCACCCACACTACAGTAACCCTCCACCCACACTACAGTGACCCTCCACCCACACTACAGCGACCCTCCACCCAAACTATAGCGACCCTCCACCCACACTACAGCGACCCTCCACCCACACTACAGTGACCCTCCACCCACACTACACTGACCCTCCACACACTACAGTGACCCTCCACCCACACTACAGTGACCCTCCACCCACACTACAGTAACCCTCCACCCACACTACAGTGACCCTCCACCCACACTACACTGACCCTCCACACACTACACTGACCCTCCACCCACACTACAGTGACCCTCCACCCACACTACACTGACCCTCCACCCACACTACACTGACCCTCCACCCACACTACACTGACCCTCAGTAGTAGGGATGACACGCTAAACACGATTTTTTGGGGGGGTTGGAAGTTCGTGTTTTGCGTGTCAGAGTTTCCAGATGAATTTGGCCAGTCACTGATTTGGAATTAAGGAATTCTTATGAGGAAAATAATTTCTGAGATTTTAGAAGTTTGTTAAGAGTTCTTATGAAGAAAATATGTTCATAGTAGTTTGTTGAGAGTTCTTATGGGAGAAATTCCAATTCGCATTTTGTGTGTCAGGTGTTCCAGATGAATTTGGCCATTCACTGATTTAGAATTAAGGAATTCTTATGAGGAAAATAATTTCTGAGATTATAGAAATTTATTAAGAGTTCTTATGATGAAAATATGTTCATAGAAGTTTGTTGAGAGTTCTTATGGGAGAAAATCAAATTGATCAGAGTTCATACCGAGAATAAACAGATATTTAGGCCGTATATGTTTAAGTAGAAATTCTTACTTAGAAACGAGTACGACTATATCACTAAAACCGAAGCATTACCCGGTCATCCCCCTCACACCCCCTCCCCTCTCCCTCCCCCTTCCCTCCCAATCCCCGTCACCTGTTTCGACCTCACTCCAGCCAGCCAGACACCTCCATAATCTTATCTTTGTGTCTCCATAATATCCGGACCGTCTCTTCCCCCTCTCTACCTGTTACCTTACCCCCTTTCCTTATTCATTATCATTAATATTGTTATTTCATAAATCCGCACAGCTATTTTAGACATCGTAATGTTTGTTCCTTTAATTAAACAAGTCAGTTTTACACAAATTAACTGAGTCAGTAAGCAAGTTCTAGCTCCTGTCCCCGCCTCAGTTTATCCCCGTAACATCTTTACTAACAATCCAATCCCCCTAAAATTTTAAATAGCCATGTTTCAAAAGTAGTGCAATACAATAGTTTAGTTACTGAGCTCCAGCTCTTGTCCTCCACCTTAGTTCATTTGATCAAGTTCTTTAGTAACACACCATTTTTCCCCAAATTTAAAGCAGATATACTTCAAAGATAGTAAATCAAATCAAAACAGTTAACGAGCTCCAGCTCTCGTCCCCCACCTTAGTTCTCTCGCGTATCTTTGTAAATAACCAATAAATTTTCTTTAAAATTTTAACATAGTTGTTTCAGACGTAGCAAATAAAGCCAGTGCAGTTACCGAGTTTTCAACTCTTGTTCCCTGCTTAGCTCATTGGTACA